AGAAGAAGCAAGGAGAGACCCCTAACTCATCATTTCCCATATGCTTAAGGCTCGTGGCGTACAATATCAATCGTATTTATCATGTGTTTTGAAGTTGTTTTGTGAGAGAAAGAGAAAGACGGACGGAAGGTCTAAGGGGAAACTCGGTCCTAACTTTGTCATGCAAGATGGCCTTAAGGTCGGGATGCAAAAGGAAATTCTATCTTGATGTTGGCATGCAAAAGTGAACCTAAGGTTTAGGTTAAAAGGGATTAGCCTAATGTTATCATGCATGGATTAACTCCTAATTTCTATCCTACTCCTTGCTTAAGTTGGACTAAGAGGCCTTAAGTGAGCATGCAAGAACAAAATGAAACAAGAAAAACAAACCAAAAACAGCAGCTACGACAACGCTCCAACTTCATAACAGCAATACAAACCCATCAATTAAGCACAACAACATTCAAAAGCTCATGTTTCAGCATATAATAGGTGTAAAAGGCAGCAGACAAAATGGATGCACAATTAACAACATGTTAAAATCCAAAACAGCAAGTGTGAAAAGTCATACAGCATGTAACATCAACATTGCAACAAAAGCATATGACATGGTAAGGATCAATCATGAACATGCGTTAAAAATTAAGCACAAAACAAGTTCGATGCACAATTAAATTCGACGAAAATATCATGGATATCCAACACCAATTAATCATTTGAACAATTATGCGTTTGCGGAATCGAAAACGAACAATGAGTATGTAATGAATATCCAGCAGGACAAAAATCAAATACCAGCAATCAACATCATGCAAACGAATGTGCAACATGATCAACACACCAAGAATGCAACGCAACAATCATAAACGTTCATAAATGGAAAACCAAAAGTCGTGTGTCGAAGAAACTCAAACATGTTATAAAAATGCTGAAACAGGTCAAAAACAGTCCACATATATGCATCATATCAATCCATGAGGTTTAAGGATGAAAAGGAACCCAAACAAGCTTGAAAATGCCAGAAAAATGCATCATGTCTTAGTGGTAATCGATTACCCACTTAAAAACTTCAAAAAAAAAAAACTCGAGGAAAAAGCAGGGTAATCCATTACCCATATTGTGGTAATCGATTACCACTGAGACAGTGGCAGAAATTCAACTTCCAAAAAGCACTTTCTACAGTAAATGAATTATCCAATCATCCAAATGGACAAGCAATCAATTATGCATGAAAATTAGGTTAGATCAGAGTAATTAAACACCAATTTCATCAATCAAACAACACGGTCAAAGATCAAAGTAAGCAATGAATCAAATACCACCAAAAAGCCAATGATCTACATTGTGAAATGCAAGATTAAGCAAAATCAAAGCTAGATATAGAATATACCAACCTATAAAGCTGAGATTTGCTTTGGTGAGTGTTGTTAAGCTGCAATTAAAAGATCCAAGCAAGAAATCCAAGGATCTACAAAGCTCTAGCAAGCAAACTTAAAGATCCAAGAAATAATCCACAAATAAGCAAAAGCTCTTCCAAAGGTGATTCCAACAACTTGATTCAAGATCCAAATGAACTACCAAACCAGAATTGAACCAAGGATGAAGATGCAATGAAGGCTTAAATCAAGAATTCAAAAATTGTATTGTACAATTTGTGAAGCTTTTGACTATGGAGCTTTTGTGAGGGTTTTGGAATGAGAGAAAAGTTAAGAGAATTGAAGTGAGATGTGTAGATATTTTAGAAAATGAGTGAGAGTTATGAGAGGTTTGGAGTGGATTTTTTTAAATAATCCCTAGGTTAGGAATTTAAATTTGGTTTGGAATGAAAATTAGGAATGGAATTAGGAATTGAAATGTTTGAATTTTTGGAGGGAATTGGAATTAATTTGTGAAAATGAATCAAATTTGAACAAATTCTAGATCCTTCTACTGATGCACATGGAAATCACATGATCAAAATGCAAACCAAATGCTGCAATGCTAAAAAAATGAACAATCTGGGAAAATTTCGCTTGAGGTAATCGATTACCCTGATTGTGGTAATCGATTACCACATTCAAAATTTCAAATTTGGTGCCACAAGGAGGGAAACTTGGAGAATCACCCGTAACCACTTGTCTGGAGCTTTGTTCTACCTCTGAAACTTGTCATTTGATATTGCACTTATATAGGTCCTAAAATAAACTATGAACTGTCTCCTGCGCTCAAAATAACCTGCTAAAAAATATAATGGGCTGCCTGATCGCTGAGAAAAATAAATGCTGAAGCCTCTAATGTTTGCTGCTTAAAAACATGGAATAAAAGGAGGTCTTGAGCCATCGAAACATCTTGATCCCGTGTCTCAAGAGGAAATGCCATGATATGCACAATTATAATTCAAAAATGAACGAAACATAAGCCAATTACGGTTAAAAATGCATGGTCAAATTTTGGGGTGTTACAAAACTTTCCTTCTTTGGCTTAGAGATCTTCCCCAACAACGGTGGGATAACTTTGTGTGTTTTATCAAGCTGGCGCTTATTTGAGACTTATGCGGATCCTTATGATAATTAGAAAGATAGGTTTGTACGGATCAGAGGAGAGACGCCGCCTATATAGTGACCATTGGTTCGGTAAGGACTCCTCGTTTTGCTTTGTCCTAGATGATGGATCCTCAACTTATCAAAGGGAAAACATCTAGAAAATTCAATTGAGGAGGCTTTCATTTTTGTAAAAGATCTCGAGAAATAGGCGACGTCGCTCAAGGATGAAATTATGGCCACCTCCGAACTGTATTTTGAGAGAGCGAGGCAACAAGAAAAATTATCTACCCAAACCTATAATTTAGTTTGATTGACCTGTTTCAACTGGTTCGAGATAGCTGGCCAGTGGAGACGAGTAATTCCTTGTGTTTTGTATCTTAGTTTTTTTACTATTTTTTTAATGTTATATGTGTTTTGTATAGCCTTTTTATTGCTTGTAATTTATTCTCTGTTCATATTTAAGAGAATGTGATTCGTTAAATAAGGATCCTCAAGCCCTTGACCACAAAAGAGAGGCAATTATAGATCTTTTTGATGGTCTAGAGCATTGATTTCCTTAAAAAGGATGCAAGGATCCCTCTTGAGGATATATCACTTTCATTTCCTCTAAGGGAGGTCAGGGTCCCTCTTGAGGATCCAGCGTTGGCACCTTTAAGGGTGGTAAGGATCTGTCTTGAGGGTCCAACATTCATTATCACCTCTAAGGGCATCAATGATCCCTGTTGAGGATCCAACATTAGGCATCTCCAATAAGGGTGACAAGGATCCCGCTTGAGGATCTAGCACTTTGAAAGCCTCTAAGGACGCTAAGGATCCATCTTGAGGATCAAGCGTTGTGATCTTCTTTAAGGGAGGCAAGGACCTCTCTTAAGGATCCAGAATTTGTCATGTTATCTACGAGAGGCACGAATCCATCTTGAGGATCCAACATTTTGATCGCCACTAAGGGCGGCACAGATCTCTTTTAAGGATCCGACATCGTCTCTAAGGATGACGAGGACCTTTCTTGATGATTCAGTGTTTTTTTGCCTATTTGAGCAACAAGGATACCTCTTGAGGATCCATGGCTTTGGTCGCCTCCAAGGGCGACAAGGATATAGTACAAAATATGTATATATTACGGCGGTTAATTCAAGAATATTGTGGCGAATTGAACTGCCACAATTTACAAATACTACATTTTAACAAAAAAGCCCGTAAATTTGACTGCCCCAATTAAAATACTGGCAGTCTAAAATTAAACGCCTCATAAACCTTTCTATTATACATTATTTAAAGTGACAATTTTTGTTTGGAAATATTGGCAATTTCAAACGCCATATGTTTCAACTAATAAACAAATATAATTTTACGTCAGTTAAAACCATCACAATATACTAGAATTTATATCTTCGATTACTATACTATTTTCTTAATTGATGTATGTAGTTTAATATAAGAATTACGGGAATGAAATTCAGGCTGAAAAGCGCGAGACACAGAGTCAGGAGTTTACGGAAAGTGGAATTGATAAAGAGAAGAGGTCGACTAGGGCGTAACGTCCAAAGAGACAAAGAACCACCAGTCCTTAATTTGAAAAAGGTTTCTTTGAAATATGCTAAAATAATTTGAAGTTTTTTTTTATCACAATTTAACACCAACTCTAAAAGTAAATTAAAATATATAAAATAAATTTAGATTTATGTATTTAAGTAAAAAATTAAAAAATATTTAGTTTCTTTATCATGTATGCGATTTGGGACCCAATGATCACCTAAAATACGAGGAATACACTTTATTTTCTTTACTTTCTTTATCATTCATGAGTATATTTAGTTTTTATGACGCTCTTCGTTACTTTGCATTAAATTAAGGTAAAAAATAATAATTTCAATCAAGATAAAATAAATTTTTTTTTTGTAGTAGTTTGCTTTATTTCTAGAATTTTATTTTATTATGATTATTTATTTTAATAAATATTGTTGCTAAGAATTGAATCCTATATCAGCAAATTAAGTGTAAGTTTCGCTCGATTTTGGAAAGAGGCAAAAATGATTCTAGATGTGTACAACTGATTTTGAAGTGATTTTTAGGTGTTTCGTTCTTTTAAATTATAATTGATTGGGCATCCAAAATTGATTCTACTTGAAGCTAGCATTTGTAATTTTTGAATCTAAACATAATTTTTACATTGAAATTGAACGTTCAACTCACTTTTATATAAATTTAATCAAATATAAATCACTTTATCTTCAACTCACTTTTAAATAAAATCAATTCATTCAAAATAAAATTAAAAAAAAAAAAATCTAATTTCATTTTATTAAATTAATTTTATTAAAAATTTAAGTAAATACTGGTGGGAGATGTGGGCCGCAAAATTAATTAGTTTGGTACAGTTTTATTTGTATAATGTTATCAAACTTTTACTTAAGGCATGAGGTTGCATACCTTATCCTCATATCATAGCATTTCTTTTCTTTCTTGTGTCACTAAAAATTTAGTTTTCTTTTGTCAAAAATGGTGCTAGCTGGTAAGCTTATTACTGAACTTGGAATCAAAACACCCGCTGACAAGTTCTTCAAACTATTCACAACAGAATTTCACGAATTGCAAAACCATTGTGAAAGAATTCATCATGCCAAACTGCATGAAGGTGAAGACTGGCATGACACTGATACAGTTAAGCACTGGACTTATGTCATAGGTAATTATATTTATAATTCAACAAACATGCCAACCAAATCATCTTATTTGATTATATATGTTTGGAAAACATCATTACACGTGTTGTTTTCTTTAATTATGTTTATTTATCCATGACATCACAACAGATGGTGAGGTACACACATGTTATGAGAGTATTGAAGAAGTTGACGAACAGAACAAAAAAATAACTTGGAAGATGTTTGGTGGAGATATTGAGAAGCACTATAAGCTCTTTAAGCTCACCCTTGAAACAACTGATAAGGCTGATGGCACTGCTGTTGCTAAATGCACTATTGAATATGAGAAAATCAATGAGGATACTAAGCCTCCAAATGGATGGATGGACTATCTTAGCCAATGCGCAAGAGATATTGATGCTCATCTTATCAAAAGAGAAAAGGTTGCTATATGAGTTATTAAGGCATTATATTAGCGTGATGTCTGTATGGAATAAATGCGTCGGTCATGTCTTATTATATTATTATTATGTTTGCTTTTCTTGATGCTTCTTTTGTATGGAATAAATGTGTCGGTCATGTCTTATTGTATTATTATTGTGAATGCAAATTAATTTCATGTTTAACACGAGCTTTGATACTCCCTCTCCGTTTTTTTTAATTGTCTTTTTTTTTTCTTTCACTTTTTGCGCATACAAGTGACGATAATAAATTTTACTATTTTTTATGTAATAATTGTCTTTCTGTCTATAATATCATTAAATATTTATTTATTTATTTGATTTCTTTTTCTTTAATAAATATTTGACAAAATAATATTTAATGCCATCTTGAACTTCTAAAATTTTATTTAAAAAAATTATACAAATTAATAAAATTATACAAAAACGACACAAGTAGCGGAGGGAAAATTTAACCTACAATTATTATAACTTTTTAAAATCACTGAGAAGTTAATGGCACTTGTGGAGTTTATCCAGTTTACAAATTTCATACTTAAAACATAAAAATATGCATCTATTTTTATATATTTAATCTTGACATTTTTATTTCAAGACATTATATAATACTCCACGTCTCAAATTAATTGTCTTTAAATTTTGCACACTTGTTAATAATGACAAGTTCGCAACTAATAAAGTTTAATGGTAAGATAGATAAATGAACTTGATTGTAAAATAGATTGATAGTCTACGAAGTCTATTAATTAGAAGATCTTCTACAAAATCCTTAAGAAGAGACGGTTGTCTATGTTGTTAGTCACCAGCGGTTGCTAGTGCAATGTAATCAGTTGATTATAGTGGATTAAGTCCTTGTGTATAAGGTGAAATCACCTTGGCGGATGGACTGGATTAACTTGATAGTTTTCAAGTAAACCAGGATATATCGTGTGTCTTTCTCCCTTGTTAGTTTATTTGTGATCTTTATTTTAGTTTTGCAAAAAACTTTCATTTTTGAAAACCCAATTCAAATCCCCCTTCTTGTGTTTTCTCACACCTTCAATTGGCATCAGAGCTACGGTTCTGATTATGATAAATGTTTTATCAACACTTCACCGTGTTTAGTTTCGATCCAGTATTTGACTACTGGAAAGATAGAATTGAAAGTTTCTTTCACTATGCCAAAAAAGACCTTTAGCAGCGCTTAAAAGCGCTGACAAAAGTGACGCTGCTAAAGTAAAGGCAACACTTTTTTTAATGAAAAAAGCGCTGCTAAAGGCTCCCTTCAGCAGCACTTTTAACAGCGTTTTTTTAGCCCTTTAGCACCGCTTTTATAAGCGCTGCCTATTCCCCCCACCCTCCCCCCCTTTAGCAGCGCTTTTAGAAAGCGCTTTCTTAGACCCCCCCTTTAGCAGCGCTTTTTTAAAGCGCTTTCTTAGACCCCCCCCCTTTGGCAGCGCTTTTATAAAGCGCTGTCTTAGACCCCCCACCCTTTCCCCACCTATAGTAGCGCTTTTGTAGCGCTCTCTTTGTCCCCTTTAGCAGCGCTTTTTTGCAAAAGCGCTGTCTAATCTTCACGATTTGAATAATCACATTTTTTATATATTTTTCGAAAAACCTGCTTATATTACATTCACTGCTTATAATTCAGGCCTTTATTTCAACACTTTGGCCTTATATTCAACACTTTGGCCTTTAAGTATACATTGTAATTCATCACTTTACCCATAATCATTTTAATACACATAAATTTGCTTAAATATATTACAACAAAATCCGATCCTCAGAATTATAACATCACAAATACAGTAAATTTACATATAATTACAAATCCGTTAACTTTACAAATAGATACGACTTCCAGAAATATTATTATCCCGCATCAATATTGGATGATACATATAGCTTATACAATTCTCAACTCAAGAATAAATTGACACCATTCCTCCTTTATTTCTTCCAATCCTGCTTTCGAGTAAGTACCACACTTGAATTCATCAAAGTACTACATAATATAGCAGAACATGCACGATTTAGTTTTGAAACTAATTACTCAGATGAAACATCGGTTAATTATCAAAATGAATCATATAATTTATGAATTTATCCATACCATGATTGGAATCTCTATTTGACCAGAATAAATAATTTCATTCATAACTTCCTTCATAAAGCGCAATACAAAATAATTTCTAATATATGATTCGTCCGCTCTAATATTCTCATCTGGATCATCTATAATATAAGATTCCTTCTCAACATCAACATGCCCCTTGTCTCCAATGTTATCATCGATTACTTTGTTGGAAAAGATAACTATAGACCATTTCGTACTTGTCGGATCAGTGACATAGAACAGTTGTTTAGCTTGCGTGGCTAGAATAAAAGGCTCATCTTTATACCCCACCTTATTAAGATCCACTTGCAAAAATCCTGACTTATCCATTCGTATGCCACTATTATTTTCAACCCACTTGCATCCAAAGATAGGAATCTGAAACTTTTCATAATCAAACACCCAAATGCGCTCGATAACACCAAAATATGATAGATTTGAATATTTGGGATTTAAGTCCTTCACACTCGAAATGTGCATTGCTTCGGCAAGCACGATGACACCACTATTTTGCATTGTACTCTTATCATCTTGTTCTTTGGTATAAAATGTGTATCCATTAATTGTGTATGCGCTATAAGAAAACACATGCAAACTTGGACCATATGCTAAACATCTCAACCTTTGTGTTATTGAAGCGGGATCAGAATAAAACTTTGAAAAAATATGATCCTTGAACCATGTTATAAAACTTTGATTGTGCTCACGTACTATCCAATTTTCATTTCAATTCAGATTTAAACCTCGGAGAACGTCCTTGTGCATTTCAACATACGGCTCAACCTCAATGTCATTATGCAGAACATACAAATGCACTTGCTTCCGTTCATCCCTTGAAATTGTCACAACTTTATTTTCAATTAACTGTTTACCTACTATTTTTTCAACAACATTAGATTTTGGGAGGCCAATGGATTGAATGTTGGACAAATATTCAATACAAAACTCAATAGCTTCTTCAACAATGTATCGTTCAACAATACATCCCTCTGGTCGACTTCGGTTTTTCACATACCCTTTCAATATTTTCATATAATGTTCAACAGGGTACATCCATCTCATATAAGCTGATCCACACAATTGTGTCTCTTTCACAAGATGGACAACTAGATGTACCATTATGTCAAAAAATGATGGAGGAAAATACATTTCAAGCTCACACAAAGTAATAACTATTTCTTTTTGCAATGTTGGAAAGATCGCAGGATCGATCACCTTACTACAAATTGACCAGAAGAAAAAACACAATATAGTTATTGCGCCTCTCACTTTTTCTGGCAAAATAAAACATATACTTATTGGTAGAAAGTGTTCCATTATAACATGGCAATCATGTGTCTTTAAACAACTTGAGGTCTTTCATAGAAACAAGTCTTCTAATATCTGAAGAATATCCTTCTGGAACTTTAAATTCACTCAGAAACTTACATAATATCTTTTTCTCCTTTCTAGATAAAGTATAAGCAGCAGGTGGTAGATATGTGCGATTTCCTTTCTTCAAGGGTCCTAATTTATTTCTTATTCCCATTGTTACCAAATCCTTTCTTGCTTTAAGGTCATCCTTAGACTTTCCTTGTATATTGAGTAACTTACCAATAACACTTTCAAATACATTTTTTTCAATATGCATAACATCAAGAAAATGTCTTACATACAACGACTTCCAATACGGAAACTCAAAAAAAATTGACCTCTTCTTCCACCCACGCGTGACAAGCGTATGAGCAAAAGGCTTACTAAACTGAGTACTCACATCTTTCACCTTTTCAAAAATTTGTTCGCCAGTCAATGTAGGTGGAAATCTACGTTGTTTTGAATTTACATTAAATACTTTTCTCCACCCACGTTAGTGATAATTAGAATTTAAGAATCTACGATGACCAAGAAAGACATTCTTCTGACCAAATTCCAACCGCGTCCAATCTGTGTTTTCTTCATAGATAGGACACGCACATTGACCTTTAATGCTATACCCCGATAGATTTCCGTATGCTAGAAAATCATTAATTGTGCCAAACAACATCGCCCTCAAATTGAAACTTTCTTTCCTATATCTATCATAAACCTCCATACTATTCTCGCACAAACTCTTTAAGTCTTTGATTAAAGGTGTCAAGTATACATCTATGTCATTCCCTGGTTGTTTAGGGCCAGAAATTAACATAGATAACATCATGTACTTACGCTTCATACATAGCCATGGAGGTAGGTTATAAATCATAATAATTACAAGCCAAGTGGAATGTGAGATACTTTGCAGACCATGTGGATTCATTCCATCAGTCGATAATGCCAAGCGAAGGTTTCTAGCTTCTCCTCCAAAATTAGGATACTCATTATCAATTTTCATCCACTGTGGTGAATCTGCTGGATGTCGATACTTCCCATCTATAATTCTATCATCTGCATGCCAAGTTAGGTGTTTTGCATCTGTTTCACTACGAAACATGCGTCTAAATCTCAGAATTATAGGAAAATACCATAAAACTTTTGCTGCTGACAACTTTTTCTTATATCGAGATACGCCGCATTTAGGACACTCGTTTAATGATGCATATTCATTTCGAAACAAAATGCAATCATTTGGAGAAGCATGTATCTTATCATAGCTCATGCCAATAGAGCATAACATTTTTTTAACTTCATAGGTTCGATTGGGAAGAACATTATCCTCCAGAAGCATCTCTTGAAGTATGGCTAACAACTCTGTGAAACTTATATCCGACCATCCATTACCCGCCTTTAAGTTGTACAACTTTAATACCGCGGACAATCTTGTGAAAGTAGTGCGACCTTTATACAACGGTTTCTCTGCATCGCTTACCAACCTCTCAAACATCTTGGGACAATCTTGAAGATCTTCTTCAAGTGCTTCTGCAATCTCTTCGACTCGATCACA